CTTTTTGTGATGGGAGGTGGCTTGAATTGCCGTTGTCTTTGTAGGTTGTGGGCGCTTGTAAAGAGTTTCCTCTGGGTGCTGAGCAGTGATAACCTCCCGTTCAGAAAGCTGTGCTTGGAGGAATGGCTCGTGCTGTGTGAAAAGGCGTTGAATGTGAGCGGGGGGGGGTTGAGGAGAGGTTGGAAGGGCTCCAAAAAGCTTCCCGAAATTTGCCAGAGTGATAGCCAAAACTTAGAGAAACTGGCTTAAAGCTTCAGTTGTGGATGATAAGCTAAATCCTGTTGCACTCCTTTCCAGGACTGCCGTGTTTGCTGGCTGGCTTCCCCCACCTCGCTGGCCGTTGGGTCACTCTGATTAGGTAGGCAGCCGCTTGATGATGCGTGTCGTGCGACCTCATCATCCTGGAAACTCAGAAGACCGAGGGAGAAACGTTACTGCTTTGTATTTCTGCCAAACAGAAAGGGATTTTGAACAGAAGATGACAGGCTTCTCAGATCTCCTCTTACCTTGAGACTGTAATGAGAAGAGCAATATTGAGGAATAGCGACCTGGCAAAGCGTCGCCTGTCGTTCTTGGGGAAGAGTTTGTTTCTGCTTTTGAATTTTCCAGCAGCAGATGTAACCTCGCATGGCTTTTATTCATGCCTTCCTCTCTTCTCATGGGTCTAGCCTTCCAGCTACAGATTTCTAGAAGGTGTTAAACTATGGACATGAGAGAGCAGGAATAAAAGTTTAAAGGGGGAAAAATTCTTAAAACCCCCCAAATTATGGAAGCGAGTAATAGCATTGGGAGCCTGGAAAACAACAGAAAACGCGACTGGGGGTTTACTGAGAAGGTAAGAACACAATGCAAACAAGAAGTAAGTGGTGTGAGAGGAGCAGGCAGAGGTGGTTTAAGCTGTAATGAGGAAGAATGACAGAAGGAGGGAGGATAAATATAAGAAAAAAATCTGGTTTGTGTATTAAAGTAATGAATTAAGGGTCTCAAATGGATTCTTTAAAATGGAGAAGCTTTTCCTTGGTCTTTCTGAGAGGGCACATGTATTTTTTTCAGTTGTTTGGCTATGTTTAATGCTTTTTACTGTCCGTTTTCTCCTAGATCTTGGAGAACAATTTATCGGATTAACATTTAATTTGGATACTTTCAGGAAAAGTTGCATCACCTTTATTTCTGCCACAGCCCTTCCCAAGGGGCTGGCAGATGCCTGTAGCACTTCTTGATTTTTTTTTTGGTTAGTACAGCTTGGTTTTCTCATACCTGGGTTTGTGACAGGCGCTCAGTTTATTTGACTTTGGGATAATTTATTTTTTTTTCCTTTATGGTAGTAGTGGCATGCCTGCTGATAACTGGGATTTCTGATCTGCATTTGGGCTTCGCGTAGCGGAGCAAACGCGTTTTCCTGTGGCTGCCCTTCCCTGGCAGGGCAAGCATACAGTTCAGGTTGGTTCTGCCCAAGCATAAATGTCTGTGCAGCAGCCTCCCCTGCGTGCCTCCGGGCTGTTGCACCGCTCGTGCTGTACCGGTGTGAGCCTTATTCCTCTTTACAGACCTGTTAAAGCCTGCCTGGTCGGGGGGGGCGGGAACGAAGCGCGTTTCGTCGTGCCACGCTCAGCTGGGATGTGTGATGGCTGTGAGAAGGCGCTTGTAACTGGGCTGCTTCTATTCCTTTTACCTTGCCAGTTAAACGTTGCTTTCGGAGGTTCAGGGATGCATGGAAATACTGTTGGCAAAACTGTACAAATATTCCCTGTGTTTTATTTGAAAATAAAAACAGTGACCGGAAAAAAAAAAAAAAAAAAAATCCATCCAAGTCAACAAACTACTAAAGCTTTTCTAAAGCTTCTGGGTTTTGGAAAGTAGGCTGGTGTAATAGAATAACTGCAAAATAATTATTTTCTGAAGAGCCTAATGAGCTCGGTTTTTTAGAGCAGCATTAATCCCATGTTTAGCTCGCTGCCCCGACCGGGATTTCCTGCGAGCGGTGCCTGGGATCCGTGCAGTCGCGGGGACTGTCTCAGCGGTGTGAAACCGAGATGTGCAGGAGTTGGATGGAGCTCTCGCGCTGCCACGTGACCCCTTGCCTTGAATAATTGCAAAATAGAAGCTCATTTACTACAGCTTGGTTTACGTACCATTGAAGCACTGTAGTAAACAGTTTAGATTACTGGGCAGTGGACGGATACTTTTGATTCATGTAATTCTTTGGCTAAATCCCGTTAAAAGAAGCTGTATTCTAGAGAAAAGAGAGAAGTGGTTTTGGAGGCGCCGTGAAGAGGAACTCGATGCATTTGGGGGTTTTGGTGTAGCTGAGAGTATTTTAGTACTTATGTGACTAAGTGGATATTTATTTTGCCTTAATGTGTATTTGATTAGGTTACATCAGCTATAAATACTGGAAGCTCTAAAGCCTCTATTTCACTGTCTGCCTCTAATCTTGGCTTTTGAGGAACATTTAATGTCTTGTTGTGGTTACAATTAATCTGCGTGTGTTTTAGCAATTAGTGTTTATGTGCCGCCGGCAGCAACAGATTCTGGCAACTGTCAATCAGCGTCTGTAATTGGCTACGAAAAGGGACGGGAGACAAGGCAAGGTGATTTACTGCCTGCCCGGTTATTTGGCAACACCGTTTTGTCGACAAACACCCTTTCTGGCCCGAGTTCTTCGCTGTGAGTTGCCGTGGAGGTACTGGGGGGTGGAGGAATAGCCGTATTGGCGTGGCTTTGATTTGATAAAGCTGTCTGTTACGTTACCGGTTTAATGGGCTAGAATTGACTTGCTTTGCCACCTTTCCGAACAGCTGCTGTTTTTTAAACTCTTGTAATTTCCCTTCCTGTGGAAATGTTTGTTTTCAAAACAAACTTTATTATCATCTAGAATGAATATACCTGTTAACCGCTCGCTCAGTAAGAGAGGGATGACAAAATACATAAAAATCCAACGCAGTTGAGTTCTTCTGCTTGGCTAAGATTTACTAGAACTGATAAGGTGAGATTATGCAAGCAAAACGCAGATGGAGGAGGGAAAGTGGTTTGATTTAAAGAGAGAGCATCTCTGATAATTCACATAGTTGCTGCTGCTGCGTCTGTAGCCCCCAGCCTTGGGTATTCCGGACATCTCCGGGGTGTAGGAGTACTCTAGTAATGATTGGTTTTTTCCTTATTGTTTGCTTTGAGGCTTTTTGTTTTTTAAAGGAAGTGGAAAAGCTAACAGCAGGAGGCCCAGCAGTCCAGTCCAGCTCAGTACAGTGAATCTGAACATGGTAAGGAACCCGATGTGCCCTGGGCTGGGCCTGGGAAATCCGCTGTCTGATCCTGGCTCCACGGGCTGGACACCTTGGGCGAGTCACCGTGTCTTTCCCTGGCAGTTACCGCCTGTAAAATGGAGATAAAAATAATGATCTTCGTGTAGCAGTTTTCCAGGTTACGGGAGGTAGGCACTGTACCAGTGTCCTCGTTAGCATTTTTTAATAAGGCTGCGCAGATTGATGTCTTGCCCTGGTTTGAAGTTGTTGAAGGCTGCAAGGGAGTGCTAGCAGGCTGTGCTCTTCCTCTTCCCTTCCCGTAAGCTCTGCTGCTGTGAGACCTTCTGTACGGGAATAAGTTTGTTGCTGTGGTGTACATGGACAACACCTGAATTCCTTGCCCTGAGAAGTGGAAGATGAATTTGTGAAAGCAGCCGAGCGCTCATTTTGTACATGTCATACATCTGTTTTGAACTGCAATAGTTGCCTCTTGCTTTAAGTAGATTTAAACGTGTTTGGAACTAGGAGGCAATAAAATGTTCAGGATCTGCAAAACAGCAAAGCCCTGTCCATCTGATCGCTCGCCGTCAATGCCTTCTCTTTAAATTTAGATTTTCTTCCCCCTCCGCGTCTTGATAGTACAAATGCTACAAAGGCATCGGTTTGTTGGGAAGCCTTGGCCCCGTTTGCCAGGTAGCGACTGGGTTTTGAGCGTGTCAGCTGTGGTCTGCTCCTGCAGATTCTGGAGCAGGTAACTGCAGTTTGGTTTACGGACTTTATAAATGGGGTAACAGCCCTTCTTGTAGATATTTTGGTTTGTGTGAAGAACAGAGGAGTATGAGAGTCACTTCCCTTTACATAAAAATACATAAATTATTTAAGACTGTAAGAGAGTCAAAGTTCAAACAAGACAGAATCTTTAGACGTCCCCAAAAATACAAAAATAAACGGTGTTTTCACAGGGAGGAATTAACCTTATCATAAATTTTTCATTTTTGTTTGGGTTCACTAATTGATGTTTCTGTTAATAATCCGCTACCTTGTTATACAGATTCTTTGTAGCTGCCTGTTGTAAGGTGACTAATCTGTGTCTTTGGGGTTTGTTTTGAACTGTATCACTTCTGTATAAAACCTACCTTGTGATAAATGCTGGGAACCACTGGTGACTGTGTATTTGTCAGTGACCCCAAGGGATTTATACTAACTGCCAGGCCACTGTTACAGGCTGTTCATTACTGGATTTTTCAAAACCTTCATCATGGGGAAGAAATGAAAGAAAGAAATTTTGGACTAAAATTATAGAAAAACCAGAACTTAAACATTTGAATGTTGTTTCAGTACTAGCAGACTATCCTGAACTCTTAGTTTGAAATAAATAAATAGTTTTATCCAGTTATGGGTTGTGGGGGAGGTTGTACGCATCTCTTCCCCCTCTGCCTTGCCTTCTTGGTGAGTTGTACTGAAGTTGAGACCCGTCGGCGGGGCGCGGGCTGGAGGAACAGAACCCCCCCCGGCTGTGGGGTGGGTGCGCTTTCCATCGAGCCTCTGAACGGCCAAGTTCATCTTCGGACTTTTGGAAAAGGGGGGGGCTTGCGAGAAACAACGCTCTGGCATGAAAAGTGACAGTAAGGCCAAAATAGGTGGTGAGAAGTTCCTGGTTCTCAGGTGTTTGGACCCATGGGTAGGCAGGCATGCGCGGCCGGTGCGCCGCACCTCGGGAATTTGTCTGCATCTCTGACGGCGTCTTTCATCACGCAGGTGCTGACGTGACAGTAACGGAGCCCAGCAGCTCCGACAGCAGAGTGGAGCGGTCGGACCCCTACGCGAACGTCGACGAAGCCCTCATGGGTGGAGAAGCCAGCTACATATCTCAGCCCCTGACTCCGGAGAAGGAGGATGCTCTCCAGGCTGCCACCGTCGCCAACCTGCGCGCGGCTCTCATGAGTAAGAACAGTTTGCTGTCTCTGAAAGCCGACATGCTGGGAGAGGATAGTTCTCTGCTGTTTGAGTACTTACCCAAAGGCACGCATTCTCTCTCTCGTAAGTTTGTGTTTTTATATTTTTTGTTTACTGATGCTTTAAGTGAAATCTCTAGTGAGAAGAAAATACAGGTCACTGTCTCGTTTATTACTACCGATGTGTTTATATCCAGTTTTAAGTCCTGCTTAATCCCGCTTTCCATAACATTTGGAAACCTGTGTCTGGTATCGATCCAACTTCCGTGTGAACTGCTGAAGCCGTGGAAGGAAGTGTTTAGTGTATGTGTATGTAGCCCTTGTCCTCAAATTTCTCTTTTACTTGTTTGCAAAATGGTACTTGCAAAATACAAAGTATTTGAGACCTTACGGTAAAAGAAGTAGCTGCAAAGGTCTCAAATCCAAAATTGCCTAATGTTGAAAGGAGGCTTGACTGTTGCTCCTGTGTCTGTAGAAACCGTTGTGATTCTGTAGATCTCATGATCTTTACTTCTTGCTGTTTTCTTTTAGACCACTCCCTAAGTAATGAGCAGCTATTGATTGTTTCGTTATACTCGCTCGTGGAAATGAATGTTTTTCTACTGGTGATCTGTTGGAGACAGCTGATGTGTACCATTATGTGCGGACAGCTTATTTTTCAGCATACTTCTGTATTTTCTTCATTGCAGTTGTAAAATAGTTTTGATTCTTCAGTGCACAAAGAGAGAAAAATTATTGTTGCTGTATTTTAATAATATTCTCAGAAGATGGGGATATCATTTGTGACATAAAATAGAGCAAGTGGTGACTTTGAGTACTACGTGTTAGTTTTCAGTAGAAAAGGGTTATTTTAATCTATACTGAGAAAATTGACCAATTAAATAGAATTAAATGTCCACTTAAGACATTTATTTTTAGTTTCCTTGATGGTAAAAAAAAGTGAATAACTTTTAGTGGTCACATGGGTTGTATGATAAAGGGAAAAAACTGCACAACGTAATGACAGTCTTGGTATCTCATTATGCTTCTCATGGTTGAACAGTAGAATAATTTTTTAAAAAAATCTTTCTAAACTTAGAGGAAATTTTTTTTTGTCCCTTGTTCTGCAGCTTTAATGTTTGGGCGAGAACTGCTCAGGCAATGTTCTTGTTACCTCCACAGTAGTTCACTTCCTGAATGATCTCCAGTTAAATCCGATTTAGGTGATTCAAACTTAGGCTCCTGGGTTGAAAATCCCTTCGGTGCAATGAAATAGCAAAGATCCTGTGCAGCCGTGTAATCGCTGGCCTTGTGTGCAGTGAGAAGAGTGCCCTCAGCTGGCACCGGGACGGGTGGGAGCGCAGATCGATGCAGGCTGCGAGGGTGATTTATGCACCGCGTGTTGGGATCCGTGGCTCGTGACAGGTGAAATCGGCGGTTTCATCTTCTGTCATGATAAACTGGAATAACGACGGGGCTGCCCTCTATCCATCATCCTTCTCGTGGTTGGCGGATTTTAGATTTTACTTAAAAGCTGAAGGACCGCTTGGTGGAAAGACAAATGAGTCTGAGGCGGTCATAAATTTGGGCTAGAAATTAGAGAGTGCCTAACCGGCTGAGAAATGGAGTTTGGGAACAGGCACGGTGTAGGCAGAAGACCAACTGGGTTTTAAATAAAGCTTGATAGGTTTAGAAAAGGGGGTAAATGATAGCTCATCGGGGGGGGTGATGGCTCGGGAGGTCCTTCCAGCCTGTATGCGAGCTCCCTGTTTTCTGGACCGCTCACTGTTACTGAATTTCATTCAGCTAAGCTCCAATTATCTCATCTTTGTGGAAGCAAAGTGGATCGCGTAAGACAAAAAGACAATTGCTCACTTGGTCTGTAGCTCTCGCACCGGTAGGTGGAGGTGGCTGCAGCCTGGTAAGAGGATTTTTACAGAGGCAGGGAGTTAAGGGACGTATTTTTCTTTCATCTTATTCAGATTCCCAGGTATCGATTTATTTTAATGACTTGAAGAAGATATTCTGATGCAAGACTCGCTTGCTTCTAAGTGGTCATTACTGAATACAAGAGGACATCAAGTTTAATGAGAATTTTCGGTGTATAAAATGACAGTAAAGCAAGTGGTGAGAAGATTCTGGAGATCTAAAAGCACAGTCTAGGTTGGTGCTAGCTTTGTAGGTGTTTTTCACATTTTTCTTCAAACACAATTTGAGGATGTTGAGTCATTTTAAGTCCTGGGTTATAGTTAAAAAAAAAAAGGGGGGGGGGGGGGGGGGGGGGCTGGGGGGGAAGTAGGCAGGAGCACAGTGAACAACATTCATTTTTTTTAAACCCCAGACCAGCACAGTGTGTGGTAGTTTTCATCTGTCTGATCTGAAAAGGAAATGCGCTATTTTCAAGATTTTTAAGTGATCAATCTCTCTTGAGTTTAAAAAAAACCCTGTGAAGTGTGTTTTTAATCTTAACTGCTATAACTAGATTGTCGTCGTATTCTCTTACGAAGTAATACCGTACGGAGCTGACTCAAGCAGCAGCGTTCACGTTTATTTTTCTTTTCTGGAGGAAAAGATTTAATAGAGTGGGACAGAACCGAAGACTATGTTATACACATTTAAAATTCCGATGAGACGTTTCTTAAGGGGATGTTACTCTCCAAGTTACCGCGTCCATTACAAGCTTTAATTTTTCTTCCGCGTAGTACATACTGTTGTAGAAGTCCATAGAGGATACCCCAAGGTTTTCATTTTACCCTGTGTTCTTTTTTCCTAATTCATTGTATATTGTAATGAGCATATGAGGTGTGAAATTACTTAACATTCCGCTGATGGAAAATGAAGCCTGGGATGTGTGGGGGAGGTGTTGTATCACTCTGATGCCGTCAAATGTACATACAGCATTTCTAAAGTTAATTGGTTCAAACCAATTGAAAATCAGAAGGCAAAGTCTAAATATCTTGCCGTTTGGGTAACACAGTTGCCAGATAACCTGCAGCTGAAGGGCGCTCTGAATTTGATGTTCATGGTTTATGATCAAGACTGACGTTCGTATGCGTGTCGGAAACCTAAAGAACACGTGGGTTTTGCAGAAAAAGTTGTGTCAATCATGGGTAACACTGAGGTCATCTCAGGTACCGTTAGTTATTGAACCCGAGTAGTTTGGTGTGGGGATGTCTTTCAGATAAGACAATACAAAAGGTTCTGTTTTCCTCGTCTTTACGTGTTTTCACGGTTTGTCTGTAAAAATGGGTTATTCCTTGCTGATCTCCAACTTCCGCAGTGCTGTTCTACCAAGCTCCTTGCTTTAATAACGTGTGGTTGATTTCATTTGCGATACTGAACTTTGGTAGCATTGTTCCGTACGGTTACACCACATCTACAAAAGTCTCAAAGGCTTTAGTTGAATGTTTTTGGTTGGGTTTGCCAAGTATAATCAAGAGAATGAGAATTTTAATATTGATTACCAAACGAGTTGGTTGGTTTACATCCTTGTTTTCTCATTTAAAAAAAAAAAAAGCCAGAAAACTTTCAGATTTGGGGGTGATTGACTACCTTGAAGGGCAACTCTTCCACATTTTCAGAATAGCACACTGCATACTTTTTTCTACGTCTAAGTTTGGCTTTTCCTGTTTACCCTGTTGCAACTGAAACTGTTTATAGAAGCAATTCCTGTGAAGCTTGCTGTCCAAGTGATTACATGGTACACAGAGCCCTTTTTCTTTTGGGCAAATACGTTATTTTTAGTTAGCGGTTCATTGGAGCCAATAATTTATACTTGCGCTGGATGTTAAAGGAATACGTTTTACACAGCGGTCAACTTTCCCAAGAGGGAGTTAAAGGTATTCAGTTTGGCATGGAGTTTTTGCGCATGGTAAACCAAGATTTAGGAGAGAATGGATGCAATTTTAAATGAGATATAATAACCTTTGCCTTTCTATTTTCCACAATAGTTTACTGTCCAGCTGTCAGAGAATACTATATTCATATAAATACTGCTAAACCAGGGCATCAGCTTCCATATGCAAAGCCGTCTGAAGGAAAGCGCTTCCGATTTCTGATTTAGAAATGAAAATACTTTTCATTAAAATTCATTTCAATACAAATTCAGCAGGGAAGAAGGTTTCTCGCGGTACTAGTCAGAATGGGGCAACACATAAATTCAGGTGCTGTTTGCGTTCGCGTGTACACAGTATGGGTCGTTTATGTGGGTTTCTCTTCTTGTGTTACTTGCAGTTGTTGAAACCTAATAAATATTAATGATTGTTTTAAAAAAAAAAAATCATCTTTGCACTTTGTTCTGTTGTACGTCTTTGTGGCTCATGTTGGATGATTGAGCTTCGTGTTTCTCCTTACTCTATTTCATTGCTTGTTCATTAGCTTTAACTTTTGCCTTAGGAAGTGCAGAGTTTCTTAGGAACCTGTTTAGTTCTGTAAAGGTGCTAATAAAGAGTTAATCAAGCCGGACCCCACTGGCTTATCTTTCCTCTGTGCTAAAATACCGTTTGTTGAAGGAAGTGCAACCCAGAGATGCCTCTACCTTGCCTGCAGTCGAGGTAAACAGGGCAGTTTGAATCGGTTTGGGATATTCCAGGGGGGAAAAAAAAAAAAAAGGAACGTGTGGATGTCTAGGCAGGAATTCTGCTATGGACCTGGAGAGCTGGATTCCTGGTAACAGTTTCTAATGGGAAATACTGATTAATTCACTCTTTTCCCCATTTTTTCCTATCTTGAACTTACAGGCTTTTAGCGTTTTGTTGTCCTGCAGTTTCAATTACAACAGCAATAGATGAGCACCACCAGAACGAAAACTTGAAGTATTGTTGTCACCCTTGAATAGCGTTAACTAAGTTGTGAAAGATTTCAATCTGCGATCAAAGCGGAGGAAAGTAAATCAAACATGCAGCTGGCGGTGCAGGAGCAGAATTTCCTTTGATAGCTGATAAAAAGTTAGGTTTGGGACTGCTCGCGTTTAGAAACCTTTGTGCGGTTTCACTCGAATGCTTTGTTGTGACCCAGACCACGGTGTATTGTATTCGGACGTAGTATAAACTTTGACTTGTTATTTGTAGCTGCATTAAAGAGTGTGGGTTTTATACGCGCGAAGGTTTCAATCGGACTCTTTTGTGTTAGAAGTAAAAAAGCCTTTAGGGCAGAGAGCGCTTAAAAGTCAACAAATTCTTATTTAATGCCGTATTTGATTCTGATTCTGCCTGCTTGCTTTTCAAAAATAATGACCTGCTCAATATGTCATTCTGATATTCAGTCAAGGTGTTTGTTAAAGTTCGTTTAACAACTTGTAACGCACGCCAGCCTTGATTACAGAGTCTTGATTTGTATGTAGGCTTGTCGTCGATTATCAGGGCAGTTTCTGCAATGTTGTTTCCCACTTGGCTGTCGCTACAGCACAGGCAAGGGTGTATGATTCTGCTTTGGGGCAGACAAATCATGTTTTCCTTTTTAACTGCAGTGGGTTTTTAGAATGTAATGACTGTCAGGTATAATTGAATGGCTTTGTACGAATATCTGAACTTCTGTGCTTGCCAGCTCTGGAACGAAAGGACTGGTTTTTCCCATCTTTTGTAAAGCACTTTGAGATCAAGGACTGACAGTACGATGTTAAATAAAACACCACGGTCAAATCTTGAGATCTGAAGCTTGGATGTGCATTTTCAAGAAAGTTAGCGGCAGAATAATGTTTGTGTGTACATTACTTAAAGATCGACGTATATGTGTTGGAAATGGTCCTTCTCCGAGAGGTGTCTTTCCGAAATGCGATTGCTCTTGATGTTTGTGCTGCACTGTCCTTCTTTCTCCCGACGGACTCTTTAGCGACCGTGCCATGCGATAGAACTCCACTACATACATCACGCGCAGACGAGGCATTTTGGGTGGGGAGGCTGGTTTTAAAACAAACAAACAGACAAAAGCCTGGCATCGCTGTCCTGCTGCATTCCCTCCCGCTGACGCTGACGGAAGATAAGCTGCGAGTGCTGGTGCGCTGCCTTTGCAAGGCCTTTTTTAAAACCACCAGCTGGTGCGAGTTCACGTGGGTGAGATTCGTTTCCTGTGTTCCCCAGGGCCTGGCACCAACTTGAATCGTTCAAGGGGCGAATGTGATGGCAAAGTGGAAGCACCATCCCCCCCGCTGCCTTCATCACACCTTGCCACTCAGAGCCCCCCTGAGATCTGCTCTTCTGGTGAAATGTCACCAGAAGCCATGATAAAAGGAGAGGTGCCTTCCTCGGCCCAGGTAAGATCGTGGGGGAAAATGCAAAGGAATTTAAATGCAAAGGCATCTACTTAATCAAATTCTCCCCAGTTGTGAGGAAGACCGTAATACCTTATACACTGACCTGTTAGCTTTTTTTTTTTTTTTTTTTAAATATAGGTTATTTTAAAACTAGAAGTCTGTTGAGGTCAAGGCTGGTGCTGCCCTAATTTTATCCTTTCTGCCTTATCTCAACAGAACTTCCATTCGAAAAACCTGTATTTTATATTTATTTATTTTTTTAGAGCATGCATGTCCTTTTTATTGTAAATCGTTTTGTTTGCAAAACTCTGCATACAATAATACAATAATGGCATAAAGAGAGCTGCGACCCCAGCTACCCGTTGCCCACTTGCGGTGTTTTGCATTTGGGTTTCTTGTAGCTGTCCGAATTCGGATGGAAGCAGGCTGGCTTCCTGTGTTACAGGAGTCAGGAGCTTGACATAAAATCTATAGCTTTCTGTGGCATTTCTTAGTATTTTTTGAATGAGACTTTAGTTCTGTTAAACAAATGGGTGGAAACACAGATTTTCCTTTGCAGTCACCTTAGAGGACAGTGAGCTGGTAAGGATGGCTGGTAGCCACTTGCCCGGTCTCCGGCAGACCTGCCCGGGCTGCATCGTGCCTCTGCCTCATAGAGGGTGGCCATCTGCTGCACCCTGGCATATTGCAAATGCTTTATGAAAAAACAAAACAAAACAAAACAAACCCCAAAAAATCAGCGTTTATTTATAATTTGGATTGGCAATGCCAGAGAGCATTGCACAAAGGGAACTACCCAGAAGGTGTTTGTTTTCTATGGGCTTTTCTACATGGAAAGAAAAAGTAGCTACGCAAGGCTAAGGGAAAATTCTCCAGTTCTGTTGCATCCGCTAGATGTTTCCTATCCGGTGTTTCTTTCCCGTTGGCCTGAGCGGGAGCTGCGGATGCTTAGCGAGACTGAAAGCTGAGCAGTTACCCAGGACCTAAACAGCCGTGTTGATTACTGTCTTTAAACACCAAATCTTGCAAAATAGGGCCAGGTTAAGTCAGCTGCTTGGACAGCGAAAGCTTGGTAAAGGCAAATAGGGTTGCGGAGTCAAACGATGAGCCTCCGTTAAAGAAGGGGTGAAGGCAGTGGTGGGATGGGAGTCTGAGCACTAACTGCAAAGACGTGTTCTCGTGAATGCTTGCCTTAACTTAAGTGTGCTTTCCATTTGCAGGCCACTTATGATGGGTTTTTAGCACTTTGGCGGTTTGATAACTCTGATTTGGGTAAGTAGAGAGAAATTTATTTATTTATTTATTTATTTACACTATCATCGTTTTATACGAGAAGACGCTGATTTGTACACGTGTGTGTGTGTGTATTTGTTTTAGACACGAGTTTCTCGAGATCTGAAGACACGGACGTAACCGCTGATGGCCTGTTCCTGGATTCAGCCTTAGCCAAGAGGCTGACCTGTGGTTTCTGCAGGAGGGTTTTCCAGTGTGCTGAAGAGCTGAAGGAGCACATCCACGAGCACGCTTTCTCCATGCTTCTCCCGTTCGACTTGGTTGACTGCTCCCGGCCCGGCCTTGCTGACAGTGTGCCTCCTGGCCAGCTCGCCCGCTTCCAGTGCTCCAAATGCCCCGCCAGCTTCACTCTGAAGTCCAACATGGATCGGCATGAAAAGACCATCCACTTCAACTGTAAGAAGATGCAGTGTCCTAACTGTGCCAAGCTGTTTCGAGACAAGACAGACTTAAACCGACACCTTATGTCTGTGCACTCGAATGAGCGTACTTTTGTGTGTCTCTTCTGTGGCAAGGGCTTCGGTACACAGAAGAACCTCACTAACCACGTGAAAGCGTGTTACCTGGGCTCTGCCCAGCTGGGCGGGTTTGAGCTTTTGGACAGTGTAGGACAAAACGAGGATCCTGAGGATGCGTAGCTACTGTTGCGTGTATGAGGCGCCTCTCTGAAACTAGGAAAAGCAGATTGTTCCCTTTGTTCTTGTGCTGCAAATAAATGTACCGTAGGTGTAATACAACAGAGTAACGCCCCAAAGCTGATCGAGTTGGTAATGTGCTGGTTCCAGCCACGGTGAGATTTTTTTTTTGTGTGCAAAGATAACCTTTGTCAGTCCCTACAATGGGCGCTTTGGCTATCTCATTGGTGTGATCATACCCGTGTGCTTATACTACCTTCAACTTTTTTTTTATCAGTAGATCTCAAAGTGCTTTATAAAAGAAATGGTGATGTTTTCCTCATATTCCCTGGGGAAATAACATACCTCAGCTTGTCGAGCGTGTTAGCAATAGAATTAATAATAGAATTCAGTCTTCTGAGTTCTGGTCTAGTCCTCTGTCCGTTAGACTGGGCGTTTCGGGGGGTTTCAGCTTGAGATTAGGAGCCGTGAGAGCACGGGGTTGCTCAGTGCTGTACGCTGTCCGTAAGTCTGGTTTGCTCTGTCGTTTAAAGGAGAAAAACATGCTGCTTGTTCATACTTGCAACAGGGTGTATTATTTGGGCTTCAAAGTTGTTGCAAGGCTTGCGTATCTTACTGATGTTATGTTTGAGTGCTTTTAGGGCTTTTTGAAAAATATACTGGGGTATGGCTGTGGTTTTCAGGAATTCTGTACATTTTTCTGACTCATTTGTTTTACATAGTGTAATTAAGTTAGCCAGACTGAATGTATGTTGTCGAAGCTGAGGAGGCTTTACATGATCTAATTGTAACTCAGGGTGCACGTGTAAAACCACTGATGGTTGTTACTGGAGGGTAGAAATCTTACTGTAATTCCTATTCTATTACATGAAATTCATTTATTTTTTTAAAAGATTAAATATTTCTCTGTCTCTTGCTATGTGTTTACATGCAAAACCAGATTACAGTAACTGTTAAACAAAAGTAGCGTAATTAAGTGTAGTGGTTTCCAGCTGCGCTGTGTACAGCACTGCTTGTCAGCAGCTTTGAGCTTCAGCGTTGCAGGGTGCGAGGGAGAGAGCTGAGGAGGCAACTTCCACAGATGATCTTTAGAGTTCTTCAGGAAAGTTCTTTCTCATTGTACTGTTGCATCTCAGGGAGACAAAAACGAGAAATATTTGGTCGCGCACAAAGTGGACTTGAGCAGCCTGGAGGTCTCCAGTGGAGAGTTTCTTGCAAAGCTGTGTCCTGTGGAAGGCTAGGTGAGAGCGGTCATCGCCTGGTTCCCGCTGCCCTTGCTCCTGTAGAGAGGGAACGGGAATATTCTGGTGCAGCGCTGCTCTGCCCGTTCCTGCTGCGGGTCGGAGCTTTGGGGAGGTGGCTCTGTGCCGCATCAGGGCTGGGTTTCTGAGGGTTGGGAAGCCCAAGTCTCCCTGCTTGGCTCAGTTCTTCCTCTCCGTTTGAGCAGGGTGCAGTCAAAGTTGAGAATATGTTCCCGTATAATCAGTGTAGTACAGCATACTTCAGTTGGTTTGTTTTTTTTTTTTTTAATTTTATTTTTTTTGCAAAGTCACATTCATTTTTTTCGCCCTTGTTCCCATTGACGTCTTTGGCATTGTGGATCACGGCTGTCTGTGAGCGTGTGCAGTTTAGAGTCTGTCAGCTTCCCTTGTTACAGATGTCAGTTTAATTGCCTCATAATTTATTTTGCCTTTAAATAACCAGCAAGCGAGGAAGGAGAAAGCTGAGCCAGAAGAGAAAGTTGTGACCAAAATGAGTCTTATCTGGAAATTTGGCAGAAGCATGGCAGGATTTGTCTGAATTGGAAAAGTAAGATGCCAGAAAAAGTAATTTCAGCAAATTTTAAAAGGCTTTGTTCACATGATAATAGTTAATGATGTTTCATGTGCACTCAATTTTCTCGTATTTGAGGTTTTAATTCAATATGGAATTATTTTTCTATAATCATGTCAACTCCTCCTCTCTAATAGAAGTTTAGGTAGTATTTTACTTGGCCTGTGTAAGCAGAGTGCTTCCTGACTTCAGCACCGAGAATTTCCAGAGTTTCCCTTCAGGACCAGGAGTAGGTTTTTGAAAACGTTTGAACCATAGGGTATAACGTAGCAGAGGCTTCCAGAGTTTGCGTAGAAAACTTTTTAAAAGTAGGATTTTTGTGTTAGAAAATGGCAGGGGAAGATGATGGGAAGTGTGAGTTTGACAGTGAAATTGTACCTTGCTGTTTATAACCTTAAATATAATGAAGATTAAGTGGACAAGAATTCACTGAACGTTTGTGAATTCTTCATAATAACCAAATGAGTGCAGAATTTCAGTGATTATTAACTACATATTCATTAATCGGTTAATACAAAGGAGCTCTGTCAGGCAGTATATCACCAGTGCTTTTCCTTCTCAAGTCAGCACTGTAGGAGCCTATTTCATTAAAAAATTTTAAAAATTGATGAAATTAAGTAAAGTTACTTGAGATGATGAGACCAAAGGCTTTTTTTCCAAATGTTATTATGTTGGTTTTAAAAATGCACATCCTCTGTAAACACTTCAGGGAAGTTAAGTACATAGATTTTTTACGATGGCACTGTTTGTGTTACCTTCTCCATTTCTCGGTGCTGCTCCTCCTGTAGTCGTGTCCAGGAGCTGGTTCCCTATGGCACTGCTGTTAATAGTCTTGATGATCTTGGTAAAGGCTATTTCCTAGGACCTTAATGCTGCTATACATAAGCTCTCTAAAATATTGTCACTGAGACAAAGGACTGTCCTCATGCCCAAGCTGGTATGTCGTTCATTAAATATATGTACTTGTGGGTGCATATATTTAACAGGACTGTGAAAATGTTAACTCTGCGATATACAGCTATTTTTCTAACAGTGATGTTCTTTTTCGGGTGTTTACTTTTGTAGCTACAAGAACTAAAATATGTGGCTATTTGGTGAAAAATTAGTTTTTAATAAAACCAGAGCTGCAAAAAGTGTTCCGTGACTATTTTTGAATACAAGCCTACTAGAAGCTGAAAAGGTCGTTCTCGAGCGATTTGAGCTGAATACAGGCAAAAGTCAGCACGAGGGGTCTTGAAATCAGAAGGTGTTGCAAATGTGTTGTTGGAAATACATCTGTGTGTTGGAAACGTAACAGTCTAGGTGGCTCTTGGTGATTGAAAGCAGCGTACCGGTGGTGCAGGTTGGGCACCTAAGGCTCCGAGCCGCCTTTTCAGCTTCCACGGTAGCTGGGCCGTGAAGCGGAGGGGCAGGGACGGACGGTAAATGAGAGGAGGCATCTGGTCGTTTAGGAAATGACGGCATCGGGCACAACCTGGCGATGCGGGGAAACGCGGGATTCTGTGGTATTCTCCTCTCTAAAGCAATTCTGCTTCGTGATCTTGGTATCTGGTTCCTGCGGGTCAGTTTTTTCCAGTGTGAGGTGGTGAAGCCTGACTTGCTGAGCAGCTCATCCTGCGAGCTGGGGTCTACACGTGTAGCGTGGTTGTGGTGTTTAGTTCTGGATGTGGCCCTGGACCGGAGGAAGGAGGGTTACACGTCCCCTCTTGGCTTCCCTGGATCAGCTTATAGCTTGCTTACCCTGTCTAGACTCCATAGTAATAGGTTTATAGTGATCCCGGGCAATGTAAGTATTTGTGTGGCCTATCGCTAATAATCGAGCCGTTACGAGATCAAACCAGGAACGTATTTATCATAAATAGCTTTGTGTCATAACACTGATACTTGCTTAAGACTTCCCTCTAGGAGAAAGTGGGCTCCTTGCCTCTGATTGCATAGACAAGGGGGTGTCAGATCCAAAGGAGAAAATAAACCAAAAATATTTTTTCTGTAATATAAAAGAGAAAGGGTTTTCATATCCTATTTGTTTTTAAAAAACCCACACAAGTTACTGTAAATCAGAAGTTAGGCATGGGGTGGGAGAAGGGCTGTGCAGCCCAGCCAGGGGGTTGGGTTCTCACCGAGGGCTTGCACAAGGCTCTGGGCGTCGGGCCACGCTGAACCGTCTCCTCTGGGAGGTTCCCAAAGCCGTGCAAGTCGCTTGAAGCCGGCCCTTCCAAATTCTGCCTGATCGCAGCCAGTAATCTTTACTGGCGGGTGAATAAAACGTTCTTAGCGCTCACTTTCCCTGTCGTCACTATTGCGGCCGTGGCCCAGGTGAGTGGTGAGTAGGCTCTACATTGGGGGTTTTTTTTTTAACTTCCCTTGGGCTAGAAAATTCTCTTGACAGCTTTACAAATGTGCTGAAAAAACCCCACCAAGCCACCAAAAAATAAAAGGGTGGACCACCACAGTTGCTGAGCAGCCCAAAGCAGCAAGCTAGGCGCACAAGGGAAGAATCTGAGACCATGAGATCCAATTCTATATCCAAATAACCAAAACAAATGCAAAGACAGAATTCGTATCATGACAACTTTTAAGATCTTGAACCATACTTTTAGTCTGCGTTAGAACAATAAAAAACTTCGTAGAGTACTTTCCTAAGATGAGCTTGGGTTGAAATGTTTGCTCTGATTGCGAAGGCTGGCGTTCCCCTCTTTGAAGATGTCTCTTAATAGCATCATGTAGTTTGAACTCGTAGGTGAGCGACAACCGTCGTTACCTCTCACGTTGGTTTACCTGTATTGCAAATACAAGACAAAGACAATTTTCAGAACAGAAGGAAAAAGAAGCCCACAAATCGGGCATTAAAGTAAACACCACCGACTACGTGGGCCTACTGACTTTCTTAAAAAAAGCCATTTTTAAGTCGCTGGTTTTCAGCGTACGACGTAACTCCCAGGGCATTATCTGTGGGATGCTGAGAGCACGCAGTGTGCCTTCAGCTGGTAGGGCCTCTGTAGAAGACAACATTTCAATAAGCATCTAAAAATACCACGGCGTACTTGGTACGTTAGGAGCCATATAGCTGGTCTGGTATTTCTCTTATTCCCTGCGCGCCCCTACATCGGCTGTTCTCATTTGCCAAGAGCCATTTACATGCGCGATAGCGTACTTAAGGTGATTAACTGGAACATCTGTTCTTTTTTTTTTTTTCCCCCCCTCACTGTTACATAAACAATATATTGCTTTGAGAAATGACAATAACTGGGAGAAAAGTGAGTGAAAATTAACATACTAATGAAAGCAATAGAATTATTAGAAGGTGGAGATGTAAAATCATATCGATGCGGACAGTCGCTTCCAAACTTACAGCGGGCAGATGTCTTCAGGGAATAGCAAATATTCTGGTTTACCTGCTGCATTTTGCATATTGTGCTTTCACTTTGTTTGGAGGAGGAAATACCAGCACAGCTGCCATGTGCATCCTTCTGGCAAATGAGACCCTTGGGCTGGCTGTACCGTACGCGTCCCCCGGGTCCGCTCCCAGTGCACTTCTAAGGAGACAACGAGAAGAAAAGAACCAACAATGTCAGAAGGGCTTCAAAGAGTTCACCCCTTCTCTAGTTCAGCCAAAGATGACTGGGGGGGGACACGACACAGGAAAGAAGTCCATCAAGGGCTACAAAGAGTTTTCTTGTAAGGAGGCTTGCAAGGGTCGTGCTGTAATTCAACGTTACGCATGCCTTTATACTTCTATATCCATGCTGCCATGGTAATACCAGTTGAGTTGGATAAGGTAGCGTGTGCTTGGTGTAACTGTCCTGTTTCTTCTGGGTAATCCTGAGCCTCTGCACCTCCACCGAAATCCTCCTGGAGCGTGTGATGACGTTCTTGCATCGCACCGTCAATAAAACCAAAGCGCGTGGTGCTGTCGGGGTGTTACATTTGTGGTCTGCTGTTCACGGCTAGCTACTTCTTCCACAAATAATAGTGTTAGAATTTTAGGTCTCGATACTTAGGATAATTCGTTGTAATAAGTCAGAATTACAGCAGATTGTCAGCCCTCTTTATTTGCCGTTTAGCAGGCGTTGGGCAACGCGTGTTACAGACTGTTGCTAAATGTTTGTGTACTGGCTTGTTCAAAAGCTTCTCTGCTGAAGGTACTTGAAGTTCTTAGCTTTAATAATAAAAGTGCAGTAATAGAGTATAAGGATTAAAAAAAAATGCAGGAGGTTAAGAGGCGAGAGTGTGATTTCAGAGTGAACCAATTTAATAGTGGAATAGTAAACGAGAAGACTGACTGTTCTGAGACATTCTGAAAGTAATCTGCGTGTTTTGCTTGCTCTCTTGCAGTCAACGAGTTCACCGTCATCAGGAAGAAATTCAAGTGCCCGTACTGCAGCTTTTCAGCCATGCATCAGTGCATCCTGAAGAGACACATGCGATCCCACACGGGAGAAAGACCTTATCCCTGCGAGATCTGCGGGAAGAAGTTCACCCGCCGGGAGCACATGAAGCGACACACCTTGGTAAGAGGGCAGGCCTTGGGTGGAAGCAGCCGATTTCTTCAGGTTAAAGACAACAGGAGCTTCGTCTGGTTTAGGTCTGTGTTCTGTTTTCCCCTCTGGGGCTCCTCTGAAGGTTTCTCCAGTATCTTTTCCCCCCCCACACCTTTCAAAGGGCTGGTGTTTTGCTGCCTGTCACCTGGAGCTTACCTCCACCCGCCTTCCGAGCTCAGCCGGAGGGTTCCTGGGTTGCACCTCGAAGCGGTCGGCACTGCCCGGGCTGAGCAAACCCAGCCTCGCTCCCCGGCGCAGCCTCCTCCTTCCCACGCCCCACCGGACTGCCGGGGAGAGCCTGGGCGTTCGGGACGGGAGGTAGAACAGCTAATGCTGTCTTCGGGATGGAAAAGGATTTTTTTTGTTTGCTTTTAATAGGTTGAATGACTCGATGCAGAAAGCTTTACAATAAGTCGCTCAGCAAGGAGAATTCGAGGCAAAGCTACTCTGGTCTGGCAATGCTTAGTTATCAAAAATAATGTCACGCCTTATTAAAGACGGCTGCTCAGAACCGACAAGGAGACTGGCTGGTGCCGCTGTCTGGCTTTTCACAGCTTCTTCAGAAACAAAATTTTAAGCCAAATCTTGCATTTTTTCAGGGGAGAATTAGTTTTCCCTCCTAAAGTGGTTTCTCAAAGCTTGGTATAGGGGTGATATTGTGGAAGAGCAAAGAGTTTCTACGTAATTGTTTCGGTAATGCAGGCCAGCAAGCTCTGTTGTGCCTCTAATTAAGCTTGTAGAGAAAACTTGGATTTTTTTTTTAAATACTGGGGATGGTAGCTCTGAGGTTCTAATACAGTGAGGTATTAAAAAAAAAAAATCACAGGGGCATTGACAGTTTCAGTGGCTTAAGAACTGATTTGCTCGGGTAATTTAAAGAACTTTTCCCATATTTATATTACCCGTATATATCATATTTATATTATCTATTAAATTTTGACTGTAAAGAATACCTTACTGGAGGAGGTGTGCTTAGACTCATTCAGGTTTTTCCTGGTTGTAAGTGTCAAAAAGCCAGAAAGAACTTTAACACCCTCATCCCAGTCCCGCAGGCGCGTGCGTCCCCCTTCCCTCGGAGGTGGTTTAACAGCAGTGATGCAGCTTGGGCCAAGCGTAACTAAATTTGCAGTTCCTTTCCTTGCTCTATAAATTTCTCTACTACAGAGAATCAGCGTACCTTTATGTACCACGGGGAGGGCAGGAAAATGCGTTATACCCTCCAGGAGTGAAACAGAGGTGATCTGCAAATTAATTTTAGTTCTCAGGTTTTTGCTGCTGGAATCATTCTAGGTGGGCGGCTCGGTTCTGTTGAGTCTGAAGGTCAGGTGCTGTTAGACGCCCAGGGAGATGCGATCGCCCGTTGGTGAACACGTACGGGAGGGGATATATGTCTGTCTGAGCCTCTCGATGACTTCTTTTATGTCAGGAACGAAGCTAGTTTAGAAAATACTACTTGGATTACAAATTTTTAGTGCCAATTCCTTGAAAAAAAAAAGCGTAACACAGGCAATACTGATTTGTTTTCATTTCCGAACGACCATAAATTACTCTGAGGTATCTTGGAATGGATGCACTAAAAAAAAAGGATG